GAGAGAGGAGGAGGAGGGGGGGGAGAGCAGTGGAAAGGGTGGGAATGGGGGATGACGATTATAAGTATGTCTATAATGATTTTGAAAATTATAAACTGAAAATAGTAACGAGGCACTTCCACTTATGGTACCTCAAAGAAATACAGGTAACTAGACTTTCCTCTAGCTAGCAATACTGGATCATGAAGATTACACCAGTTTTTCAATAGCCGGGATTCAATTTTCTTTATTATAACCATGTATTCAAAAGTGTCCTCAGACATTCTTGTGTATTCATTAAATCTAGAGGGGCCCTTTTTCAATTCACAGAAAAAGTGGTGCTATTCACTAAATTGCCGTCTTTCTCTATTTATTGGGTGTAGGCCTACATTATGAACTCCTGTCTTCACAGACTTCAACATTAACAAACTGTCCAGTAGCATAAATTCATCTACTGACGACATCATGTCCGCTAGACAATATAACTTTTGCCTCCGAGTCTCTGAGCCTGCTGAAAGGCAGGTTCAAAGTCGTCACTTGGGCCACTTGTCATACCACACCTGCTTAGCCAGGTTACCAGTCGCTTGTGGAGGGTAAATCTGAGGCAGAATGCCTGCCGCACTACGGCGGCACCCTTAGTTTGGAGTAAATGTCAGCATCTGGGAAGGAATTTAGTTTTAGTTTTAGTAAAGAGTTTTACGGCACTTGCAACACAATAAGGTCATATAAGTGCCGAAGATTAGAGGTGTTACAAGAGAGGAACAAACACAAAATAGAAGGAGGAGAGATCAGGACGATAGACGTTTGATAGGAAAGAAGAAGCAAACCACACCAGAGCACCCGCCAACCACCCACTGGGAAGGAATTTAGCTGAGGACAGGAAAACATGGAGGAAAATAATAAAGGAAAGAACTATAATGCAAGAGAGCAGCCTTAGAAACAACCAGGCTGAGAAGAGCCAATGATGAAAGGAAAACAGCGGAAATACAGAGCTTTGATCCACGTCACTGACATAAAAGTAATGTGATAGAATCTGCGCTTCAAACGTAGGAAGAATTAGCCAAGAAAGAAACTGCATGAAGACAACCTTGAGACCATCTTAAGCTAAACTGACCGTCTGCATAGACTAAAAGAGCCATACACTACTGTGCTACGGCAGTCTACCGCAAATCCCGCCTGATCGACCATGGTCAACTGCGATATGACATATCTATTGCAGCGTGTCCCTCCTGATTGGTCAAGATAACGACAGCACTCGGGACTTAAAGATCAAAGACGAAAAATCCGGAAAAAGAGCGGTAATTCAAAAGAGAACAGAATCCATGTATTTCTTCTTCGTCTTTGGAGAAAACTTAGAAGTACCGATTAACCAAAATGCTCCTATTTCTACAACGAAAAGAATTTCGAGATTATGTCGTTTATTTCTTGATTAGTAATTCTGAAGTAATGCAACTCATCCGGTGTTACGGGCTTCAATAATCAACAATCTTCATCCTCTAAATTCCAAAGGCAAATGTCAAAACATAACAGTAACAGGTGACTGGCATCTAAAACTGTGGTATAAGAACAGATAGACACAGGAATTCATTTATGCCTGCTTCATTCAAACTGCTAGATCTAAATGAATATTTTTGCAAAGTTAAATAAGATAAACAAAAAAAATAATGAACAAATAATCTTGTTTATGCAAATGTAAACTTGTTTTCTATGTTATGGTATGGCATTTATAGATAATATGTGTTTGAGGCAAAGAATGAGAGAGAGAAAGACAGAAAAAGGTGCACCCTCCATTCACCAATGTTGTGCACAACCAGAGTGGATCAACAAACTTTGACATAGTCATTGTTAAAAGTAATAGTACAGTGGAGTCCACTTATAACGAGTCCTGAAACAACGAGAAGTCTGTTATAAAGACACTATTCTAAAACCCCGTTTTTTCCCTCCTATATCTTTGTAAATAAAATACAGCTATTGCGCAATCAGACAAACACGCCAGTCGGTTATAACGGAATATTGCTGCTGCTGTGCACAGCGCACAGACCTATTATACATCGCCAGTTGAGAAAGTTGTTTGTGATCCAGGGAAACAAAGAATGGGAGAGTCCACGCGAACCAACAAAGAATTGAGCGAATGAGTGGGGAGGGTGTGGCACGCACAGACACGCAAAATGCATCGCGTGATACTGATAGGTCAGCCCAGTCTAGATTATCTAGGCCTACTGTCCGTCTCACTTCTCTAGTGTGGGATGGAGAGGTCACAATGCTGTGATAGATGGAGTGAATGTGTGACGTGCGCAAGCAGAACAACGAACCACAAGATGCGGTGGAGTGGGGGGCAACACAGCGGGCGAGTTAGCCTGAAGCCAGAGCCCCTTCTTTCTGATTGCCAACACCGAGCTGTCAACATTGCTAGTGCTAGAGAAAGAAACCTGATTCGATTTTTGATCAAGTAAGACTTAGAGATCATGTTGAACAAAATCATCTTTAGGGGAAGTACAAAAAGGAATAAACAGAACACTAAATTCATAGATTAGGCCTACTTTACCATTTCCCTTGAATTTTCTACTGGATCCATTATAGCGAGAATCCTGCTAAAACGGACATTTCGCACCAGTCCCATACCTCTCATTATAACAGGATTCTACTGTATTAGACTTTCTCAATTTTTGTTTTCGTAAGTGTTTTACAGCATTTGCAACACAATTAGATCATACTAATGCCGAAGATTAGAGATGTTACAAAAGGGTACCAAAAGCAAAAAAAGAAAGGATACATCAGGACGATAGATAATTGATAGGAAAAGAAGAAGCAAACCATACCAGAGCACCAGCCAACCACACACAAAGGAAAAAAACAAGAACAAACAAACAGCAGGGTACAAACCTATGGCGTAAGCTTTATTCAACAGCAACAAAAGCTTTACATAAAAAGGGAGAGAAAAATATAAACGATTGTACAGTTAACTAGTTCATATCCAATTCTAACCCCCCCCCCCCCCCCCTAAAATCCCTTTGCAATGGTCTCATGCTTTGTTTGCATTGATTCCCAAACAAAAACAGCACAAAATCAATATGCCTTGGCAGAATAAGTTAAATCCTTTCTTAGACACGTTGATGGTATCAGGGCTGAACATGCAAATTGTCAAACAAAATTGTTAAATATGCTATTCAGTTTTTCCGAACACCAGACTCTTCATCTTCAGCCTGCACAACTTATCCTTCAAGGTTCAACTTAGACGTAGTTGAATAAATTACATTAACTAAATCATTGACTAAATCAAATCTGAAAAAAGACATTACATAAACTGTCACAGATGGTACCAAAAACCCCCCACAACAAATCTCCATTAAACTTTAGGACAAAAAGCAACCTTTTCAGACCTTTACAACAGAGGTTCACAGACGTCGCAATTATGGAACAACTAAAATCAAAGTTGGAAATATGTTTAAAACAACACTTTACACTTGTGAAAAATTGTTTTTCTATTCTCCCATACAAACCCCCTCCTTCCATCCCAACAGGGACAAAAAAATGCACAAAGGACAAAACAAGACATGATGTACAACAAAACAAATAAAACAAAGGGGGACATCAGTTCCTCTTGGTGCTTGGCTTTAGCTCATCAAAACACGATCGCATGAAAATGTGAGGCTTCATCTTTTGAGGTTCATAGCCTTCATGGCCCTGCAAAGAAGTACATTGAACAGATGTTATAGACAAAAATTAATAAAGTAGGCTTACACAAGCAAACAAGACAATTTTATTGACAAAGCAACTAAACACTTAATAGACGACTTATGGTACAGCTCTGTGTATAAATATAATCACATTTTAAAAAGATATATATCATCGGTCTCTGTTCTGATTCCATTCTTTGAAACTTTCTTAGAAATGCTTAAAACAAACATAATGATACGGTCTCAGTAATTTTATCATAAGAGAATTTGATTCTAAAGCACCTCTACAGAGTATATAGCCGAGGCACATTAGCCTACTTTATATAGACAACACAAGCTTCTAATTGCCAAAGAACAGACCTTCTTCACCTGCATACAGTCAGCATCAGAAAATGATGTATAAAAATTCGTCTTTTTAAATGTAGGTGGTTTTACACCCCATCCACACAACTTAGAGGAATATCATTCAGAAGCGACAAGACTACATGTATGTGCCATCATTCGTATCTGTCATAGCTGCCACTCAGAAATTTATAAAAAGGAGGAAATTCACGCGAAGGCGTACGCGCGCTCTCCGAAACCAGTGAGATCCAGAGGCAATATATTATTATACTGGAAAATCTAGCCTACGGTTTTGGAAGGGAAAGCTGTCATATTGTTAACCATAGGCAACTGAATTAAAATGTATTTGAAAAAACCCCCCAAAAAACCCCAAAAACATAAAGGCAGTAAGTTGACTAACAAGCATTCGAGTCAATTTGACACAGTTTGGACTTGGTGACTAAAAATCTAGTGTTTTTTGCCAGCTGGTGTCTCATAAAAAGATTTCTTTCACTTTAAATGTGTACATAGACGTAGAGCAGTATCGGATCAAGGAAGCAAGCACTCCTGTACAATTGCGGTCCCGTTTGCACTTAGTGCCCCTGTAGTGTGTTTCTTATTTAGAGATAAACTGAATTAAAATTATAGCCTAGGCTATCTAATCTAGATCTAGATATATCTAAATATGTGTAGATCTAGATTATATCTAGAGATAGATTTTCTAGATCTAGAGTCACTTCCGCAGCAGCCACAATAGCCGTCATGTAAACAAACGGGACCGCAATTGTACAGGCACAGGAGTGCCGCGGGCCGCGATTTCTTTAGCAAAAAACGGCTAGATCTAGATCAAGTTCAATTTTCTAATGAACTTTTCAAGTCGCACACCGGCTGCTTCTTTCCCATTCCAGCTCCTTTTATTTTTGCATTCTGAATCAATTTCTCTCGAATTTCCGCCAATTTCAATGACAACTCGGCGCGCTAACGTCCCGATGCCCGATCGACACTGTGTTGCTCCACAACAATAAACAATGTGAAACTAGCGCTGGGCCTAGAAGAACGGAAGTAGAAAGCTACGGCGGACATGCGCGAACCGCGTTTTCGTCTCTCTCCCGGTTCGGTGTTTTCCGCGTGGGAAAAAAAAAAAGTATGAAATTTGCGACCAAGAGCGGTCCAGCGGAGGAAGGAGGAAAGTTGAGGGAAACGCTAGATGTAGCGGAGTTTCCGCTATTTAGCGGGAAAGTGGCAGCTATGATCTGTTCTTTGAGTTCATTATTATTCTTTCCCTTATTTGTCAATCATATTCATCTGCTTTATTTCTGTTCTGTTTCTGTCCCAGTCACCCATCGTCTGACGTATGTCTTCATTGTGCTTGATCATTAAAGTCCTCGTCAAGTAACAAAAATTGTTGGCATTTATTTATAACTTAGATCATTTAAGAGGCAGGCTTCCACTCTGCCTGTCAAGGCCAACTCGGGCTGAGAGTGCTAAATTTCAAAAAGAGAAACTGAAATACTCAATTTAAATTCCCCCCTACTCGGGAATCAAACTTGGCTTTCCTGCATACGATGGGTATGTTAGGGACGCTAGATATAAAGAAACAAAATAAAAGAAGACCCTGTCCACATCATCTGTCATACACCCACACCAACCAATCCAAGTAAAAGTAAACTTCAGCCCTCCAATCAGAACTCATTTGACCAACTATGCTCATGTGGGTCTTCACTTTTAACTTTCTTTACGAATAAGGGGGCAGAAATTAACTTCGACCATAATCTATGACAAAAAGGATAAAAAACACACTCTATGTACCTTTGACCAGTCATAGCTTGATGCGTAGCCAAAGATGTTTCCCTGGGCATTGAAACAGCAAGTGGTGATGGGAAGGTCAAACTGTTCGGAGGTCTTCAGTTTTGTTCTGGCATCCTTGTCCCAGAAGCTGAACCGTCCGTCTGAACCCACAGTTGCCAAAGTGCCATGGACAGGGTGGAAGGAAATGTCATTTACCTGATAGGAAAACAAAGAAAGAAAAGGCGAACAAATATTATTGAATTAGACGATGTGAATTCAAAGAAGAGTTTTGGACTTGAATTTGAGCTCAATTCCCTTTAAACACAATACGAGTCATAAATAGGTGAGACCTTTGACATAGTGTTCTCCTCCTATAAGTAGTAGTAGACAGCCTCATAAACTCTCTAACCAAATCTCAGTTGGAAAGAGACTTGGCAGCTTGGGTTGCCTGTCAGACTGCTTTTCTCTAATGAAGACATCATTCACTAAATAAAAGTGGTTTTTTTTTTCATGTGGAAATATTAAGAGTATAAACATTTCGATATGGAAGGCTATTCTTCCAAAACTGTAACCAGCAACAAGTCAACTGTTTGCCTTGAGAACAGTAAGTGATTTCAAACAAGACATTGAGCTGCAAAAGCAATAGTCACAACTCTCGAAGACAAGCTATGACAGAAAATACAATTTCTACCACGTCAGCTTTATTTTTTCTTCAGCAATTCTCGAAACACAGGTTTAGTTTTCAATGATATTGCAGACAAGACTTGGATGTGAAAACATACACTAGTACAAAAACAACCAAAAGAAGAGACTCCTCCTCTACCAAGCTCAAAGCCGACAAAGAACATTATGTATCAACCCATATATATATATGGCAAAATGCCATGCTTTTCTCTCGTCAATTTTCCATACATTCATCAAACTTGACAACAACCTTTATTTATATGTGAAGCATCGTGGTGTAATCAGGCGCTTGTCAAATTAACAAAACTGGAGAAACAGGCATTTTACAGCCAGTTTGGCAATTTCGAACGATTTTTTTGATTTTTTGCTCCATCCCTTTTACGTCCATATAAAAACAAAATTCTGTGTGACTTTTACGAAAAAATGCTGATTAAAGGCACAATTTATGTCATTCAGTTTTCAATGACTCAATAGCTATTGGAGTTACCAAACTTTGGAGGCCATTTTCTCACTAACTTTACCATTGAAATCAGGAGACCTCATCTCCTTCCATCGAAAATATCTTTACTTATATTCAAGATATAAGGGTATTTTTTTCATTGAAAGCAAAGCAAATAAATAAGCTTTCAGATAAAACCAATAACTCTTTAAGCCCAAAAATTGACGAGCACCTGATTCCACAGCGTCATGACACATATCGTTCCCACTGCTCAACATCCCTGAAACAGATTTAAAAACACATTCCAACACCAATGTTCACTCACAGCGTAGATGTCCTGAACTCCTCCATTGGGTGCAACATTTGATCTGTGACATTTGAAAGTGAAATTGTCCTTAGGATTGGTGGGGTTCACATACTGTATTGCCACTCTGCCCTCAATGCTACCCAGGGCAAAGCCAGTGGGGACGTTGGTCTTTTTGTCGTTGAAGATGTTGACACAGCGGTGCTGTAAAACAGTGCACAGAAACAAAATAACTACCAAATGAGCATGTAACAGGTTGAAATTGTCTTACACAGCTATCCATTGTTGAAGAGAAAAGTGGCTGTCTAGAAAGGTAGCTGTAAAACAGTGTCATTATAATCTGACATCGTAGTTTTTTGAGTGAAAATTTTCAAAATTCTGAACAGAATTTTACCCCCAAAATGACCAAATTCTGTAAAAATTTCAGCAAGGATTGCGAAAATATTTGTACTTCTTTTTCCATACTGCTTTATTTAAGTACCAATTAAATACCGATTAATCATAAACTGAGAAGTAGCACTACAGACACAGTAAATAAAATTTAAAAAACCCAGCAATTAGCAGCATACAATCTGTATTATCGTTTAGAAACACAAGCCCACAATATAAAATACTAGCAAAAGTGTGACTCAAAATCGTCAGGAGGCATTGAAGACAAAAAAGACAAAATGTTGTTTGAGAAAAAATAAGTCCCAGGAAGATGGGCAGAATATGTAGGAGAATTATTTGAAGATAAAATACCACCCCTACCACAACCAAGCAAAAACAATGGTCCCAACATTCTTAAGTCAGAGGTAGAGCTCGCAAAAAGAATTTAATTAAATTAAAAATGCCCCAGAAGGAAAAGCCCTGGGTGAAGATGGCATAAACACATAAATGCCCATCCACCATCGTCAATTTACGGGTGTGGTTAAGTACCACGTTACACACGCACTAACAGAAGTTTTTCACCAGACAAATGTGTGCTTTGGGTAAACTGAAGCTGAAGTTCAGCTGCATTTGTTTTCAATGTATTCTTTCCTTTAAAAAATGTATCCATTTTTGCTGAAAGACAAATCTCGTCTCGCTTGTACTCCTTTACAGTAGCCGCTACTACTACTACTACTAGCGCATGCACAATAGAATCTAGATAGAAGGCAATGCTACAGACTGAAGTGTATTCAGGCCATTCCAAAAGGGGGGACTTTTTTTTCTTATGCACAGTAGAATTGTAAATGGGCTGATTTATCAATGTCATGCTCACACTGTGCCGGAATAACATGGGGGAACTGCTGCTTTTTCTTTCCTCATCCTTACTATCGTCATTTTTTCCTCTACTTCTTTTGTATGCTTGTCACTCTCTTGTGAACTGTTATTTCCGGGGTGCCTTGATAGTCGAAGCAGACTTTGCACTGTTGAGGCTAGAGAGGTGAGCAGAGGAAGCCTGATTTTCCGTTTATACCTCTCTGTTGACATTCGCCCCTTGGCGCTCATATGACCTACATTACATGTATGCAGTTGTGAGCTCCGTAAATCTTATTAATACGGGGTGCCCACTATGGCTGGGATCGGCCGATCGTCCGACTCCGTCACCTCAAAAACAAACATGTTTGCTTTCTAGATCTAGATCAATTTTGTTTCCCCAAAAATAGAGCGCTCTAATATCCGGCTTCCGGGAGATCACTTTAATAACGCTTCAGTTAAAATTTTTTCGCAATTCTACGTCTGAAAGTTTAATAAATGCCGGAAAAATTTTTTTAATTCTGCAAAGTATCAAAATTGTACTTCATCATTTACGAAAAATGCTTAGCTCTGTTCAGCTAAGCTTTTTAGGGTAAGCAAAAAAAAAAGTTGTCCTTACTTATTAGAACAATAACAGTCTACCTTCTACATAAATTGACTTATCAGGAACACAACTGGAGAACCAGGTGGTCAAGTGAACAATAAACACAGACTCATATAGAAATGCATGTAATGTTTATTTGTGAAACAGATAAAATATGGGTGATCATCTCCAACCTTGCTACAAAAGAATAGGGTGCTTCACAAATGAGACGTAGCTGAGATGAGGCACTGTCCGAAATTATGTATTATAATGTGTATGACTCTAATCATATCATGCATACACCAGCGTTTCCCAAATATATAAATATTGTTTTAAAATTTCTTTTTCATTTAACAAATCAACTAGCCTGTGACAAACACTAAAAAGTATTCGTAAGAACATGCAATCAGATTCTGAGTGTTATTGTCTTCACTGCCTTTTGGGACAGTAGAATCTCTTCAATAAGTACACAGAGACCGACATTTTAATTATATGAGTGTCAGAACATACAGGGTGTTGACAAGTTCAAGGTATCAAGAGCACTGCAGTTACCTGATATTTAAGTGGAGACTCCATCCTCTTAAATTCCTGTGGCTGTACATCAAGCTGGTATATGATGAGGGCCCTGCCTGCAATGCCAACAACTGCCATTGGGTATTTCTGTGGGATAAGAAAAGGCAAATGATCTCAACAACATGAAAAGCAATAAGAAGAATGGACCAGTTTTTTAAACTGTTACAGCAAAATAGTTTCAAAGTGTTGCAAATACACCACTTTCATGCACAGGCAACTTTATTTTAATGTAAGGAAACTACTGTTATAGTCCCCTATTTACACTATAGGTCACTAAAATTAAAAGTAAGCTGAATTTTTGTGTTGTTGGTTTCAAACACTTTACACAGATGGTTTTGAATAAAAGCATAGTATGAAAACAGAATTAGCAGTTTAGACATTTCCTCAAGTCAAGCACATTTCCCTTCAAACAAATATTTGTCTTACAGCAATCCACGGGAAAAACACCTGAAAGAATTACTGGTCTGTTGATAAAATATCAGAAAAAAGTTTTTCATAAATTCTGACGATGATGGATTATTTAACAAATCCATTTCCCATGTTTGTTTTGCATGAAAGTACATAAAAATTTAAATATGAGCCTTTGCAACGAGTCCACCAGTAGATCTATAGTATTTGTATGTGGCGTTGTCGGAACCATTGTGATCTCAGCAATTCATTGGTCTGCAAGCCATTTATATCTAAAAGTCTAGGTGGAAACCCTACACCAAAACGTGAGGGACCCTATTCATAGACAGAGGAAACTGAATTTGTGCAAGGACATTTTTTAAGGGTTACTAAAAATTGAGTTTTCTCTATGACATACTTTTCTAAATCAACATTTGGCAACAGCAGGGAAGCAGATAGTGAGATTAAATGAAGAAAAAAAGTAAATGTATTGTGAGGCTTTTTAGTAACAACTTTGATTTAGAAAATGTCTTGGATTCTAGATCTAAAATTGTCAGTGATACAAAAATATGCCTTCAAGTAGCAAATTTTCACAAAGAGAGGAAAAAGCTAAAAGATTGTTTGCCCACCTTACTCCATCAGTTTGGAACTCTCTTCCCCAACCCTTGAGACATACAACATCTGTGTCTAAATTTAAAAAATCTTTAAAGACACATTTAATGACATCATTTTTATGTCAGTAGATTCATGTTCAGTATAATGTTATGTAAAAGACTATGTATCCATTTATGTATTTTGCGAATTGCATTGTGTATATTATTTTATCATTTATGAGTATGTGCTCATTTTGTAATGATGTGTAAGCATGCGTGTGTGATAAGTAAATAGATTGTGTGTGTGTGTGTGTGTGTGTGTGTGTGTGTGTTTGTCGTGCATGTGTGTGCACATGTGTGTGTGTAATGTGTTCATGAGTGTGTGTGCGTGTGTTTGTGTTGTGTATGTGTGTGTGTTAGTGTGCGTGCGTGTGTGTTAGTGTGTGTGTGTGTGTGTGCGTGTGTGTGTGTGTGCGTGTGTCGCGTGCTTGAATATTGTTCGTACATGCATTTATGTAAAGCGCCTAGAGCTGTTTTTACACGGGAGCGGGCGCTATAGAAATGATCTTCATTATCATCATTATTATTATTAAGTATCATCATTTCTATCTTTAACTTGACCAATATTATAAACATGGATGTGGAGGACTAGATGGAAATGGGTATTCATAATTATTCAATTAGAGGAGGTAAATTGACATGCTTTGTGTTATTTTGGTAGCATGGGTAAACAGAAAAAACACAAATTCTGTTGTTCAGGATGATAAAGGGTTATTATATCCCCCCCTCCCGTGAACAAAGTAATAAAATTATTTAGAGCTGACACACTGTAGGAAACTCATTGAGGTACGAAAGGAAATTTGTACAAACCACATCAGCACAGTACACTCTCTCTGGTAACTGAATGCTCAGAATGGGAGTGGAGGAACGAGTGTCCCAGAACTGAGGAGCAAAGTAAGATAGAACAATTAAAAACGACTCCACAAGAGGATAATAATCCTTTTACAAGAGAGACAAAATTGACAGAATTTCTTTACTTTCAATCACATAAACTTATGACGAACTATTTCACAATTTCCTTTTAAAACATGTGTAAGAAAAGAATCTTGCTCAATTTGATTAAGCAAGGTTTACAAATAATCAGATCGAAGATTACCAGACCTGCCACTCTATGAAATCTAAAAATCAGGATTTTTGAGTTTAAAAATCAGGATCTGGTGAAAAAAATCGGGATCAACGGCAAATCAGCCATAAAGGGCACTGGGGAAGGTCCTGGTTCCCTTTTAAAAGGCAAGTATGCAGGGCAAAACTTTTGCAGGAATAAGTTCACGTTAGGGCCTCTAAATAGAGGGAAAACTGAAAGATAGCATATATGTACTCGAGTCGAAGTTGGATAGACTGGGGGAGCGAAGGTCGCAGTGATGCTGAAACACTCGTAGTCTTGAAAATAGCTGACACGTAACTCTAATCATCCACGCAAAACGCCCGCGTTTTAACAACGTTTGACTTCCATCACATCGAAAAAAAGATCGCGCCAAGGTTGTTCATTTTTTTTCTTATTCCTTTCTCCTGTATCACGGCACGCACTTTAAGCCCACGTGTCAAAACAATACCCCCACCCCCTCCCCCCGGCCGTCCACACTGGTTAAGTCCCGAAAAAAACCTCGACCAACGCGACCGGTGTGAATGAACTTTGTTGACCCCGCTACTCACCACACGTACGAGGTCATGTCATGTGATTCGAGTGAGCGTTTGAAACTAGGTCGATTTTAGTTAGTCATCTACTAGATCTAGATTCGGCATAGATGCTTTAGAAAATAGCGTTCCAAGTTCCTACAGATAAAAAGTCCAATCGGTGTTTCCAAGCAAAAGAAATTGCAGAACTTTTTATATTTTTTTCTAAGAATCGGACGCAACAGACGCAACCACAAAAAAATCAGGATACTGGCAATCGAAATCGGGATGCTTGAGATTTGGGGCAAAAAATCGGGATATCCCGATTAAATCGGGATGAGTGGCAGGTCTGGATTACTCATTCTAAAATGAAAAGCATTTTAATTATCCTTTTGAGCCAATCCCCCCCCCCACAAGAACCTGCAGGACCTCTGCGCCTAAGTTCCTTTGTGTTGTCAACTTGACGCATACATCTCAGGCATGCATTTGATGCACAACAGGGTAAAGGTGATCACTTTCGGGTCAACTGAATCAAGCCGATTTTCGAGACTCTAAAGTTCCCATTGATAAAATTAAATCAGTTTATTCTATCTCAACATTTTTGTTTCAAAATCAAGGACCCCCCCCCCCTCCAAACAAACAAACAAACATAAAAATATATAAAAATTGATTAAGTTTTTAAAACAGCAAACAAACAAACAAAACAACAACCAACAAAAGTCAAATACCTTGAGTGTCTTGTCCCAGCTGCCAGTCATGATACAGCTGTAAGACGGGGCTTTGATCCAGTGCACTGTCTTCACGGGGGCATCATGCTAGCAATACCAAAGAAGAAAATGAATTTGAATTCATACAAGACTAAACATGACACAAATTTGAAAAAATCAAACTAGATACAGCAAAGTAAAACCTGGATTTAACAGGTGAGATGTAGTCACGATCTGGCTTTACTTAAAACCTAACCCTGCACTGAAGAAAACTGATCATCTTAAAGTAAATGCTAAAACATTATGATTCAAAGCAGTAGATCTGCTAAAATGCATTACAATCAATTTGTATCAAACCTTAGAGAAGGCGATTTTTATATAAATCTGAGAGTTTTAACTTATAAAAGGAGATTTGACTATAATCTTCAAAGAAAACTTTTTTTTTCAATTATGGTAATGCCCAGTGTGTGTGTCACGAAAAAGCTATATCTATCCTGATTTAATGATATACAGCAAACAACCAACCTGGGCAACCTGCATTGCCTGGTTACTGTTGAGGTCCCACATTTTAGCTGTCTTATCACAGGAAGCTGTGAACACCTTTGTGCCATCCTGTGGGAAAAAATAGTTTTTGGTGTCAGCCGCTGCAGGACTCCATTTTTAAAAAAGCCTGAATTTACAAAATGGTCGCTTTTAAGCACAAGGCTATCCCGAAAAATTCCATTTTGAGAAAATCGAAGGTAAAGTTTTTGCCCCTTGTACAGTTTATTTAAAAGACAAGGAGAGTATTCCCTAAAACCAAACAAATATACACACCAATGAAACCAAACTTCTCCTATAGGTAGGGCAATGCACACTCTTGGTGTAGGTCAAGATTTCTGGAAATCCCTGAAATCTGGGTGAGCCCGCTTGTCCTTAAAAGTGACCAAATGTGAGGCAGCGTGGTGAAAGCAGGTGCTCGTCAATATAATATAATCGAAGAAATCAACATTTTCCGACAGGTAAGCACTTTTTGTCGAATTTTTGTTTTTTGGCTAACCAAATTCTATGTTCTTTTGAAAATACATTTCTGGGTGGATTTTACTGAAAAATGTTGATTAAATGCACAAAAATGGTAAATTGTCAGTTTCCAAGTACTCTCAAGCTTAGGAAATCACCAATCTTTCACGGTCATTTTCTCACTAATTTCATCTCAGAAACCATGTGACCACAATCTTCTTCAATGCAAATATCTCGACTTCAACTCAAGATAGATGGGTAGTTTTTTCATCGAAAGCAAGATAAAGGAACAAGCTTTAAAATTATACCAATATAATTCCACATGCCCAAAAATCAACGAGCGCCTGATTCCATCGCGTCGTGACACAAATGCAGTCATCCAAGAAGACAGGAACGAAATACAGTTCACACCTTGGCCCATATCACTGAGAATATTGAAAATTGTTTTTCTTCTTCTGTGTCTCCTCAATGGCAGAGAGTAGATCGTTTAAACCACAGTACAACTGATTTTTACATAAGCAGATATTTTTATTAACAGAGTATTATCTGCCTCACAATTTAGACAGCCATATGCTGCTTTCACATCTCTCCAAACTATTCAAAGAGAATTAACATCTACGGTACCGACCTCACATTTGACTTTCAGTTCCCAAAGACCGGAGCTGCAGCCCGCTTTTTGACTAATGCGAGATATGAGTTACTCTAATATAAATAAATCACCCCCAAGTAAAGTTATAGACATTAAACTTCACCAAACTATTAAAAATAACATGTTTCACCATGCTAAAACACATTTTTGTTGAAACAATATTTTGGTTACAGTCATTTAGGTGTAATCGATTATGTAATAGTAAGCTTTTGTTGAAAATCAGTTTTTAAAAGGTATAAAGCACTAAACCTAGATCTACTTGTTGAGTAACTTACTCTCTAATCAATTAGAACTGGTTCCAGATCTATCTTTATCCCTTTCTTTTTGATCTGAAGACTTTCGATCCAAGTAATCAACCCCATTGTCCGAGTCTACACTCTGGATCCATATAAGCACCTCAGATTCGGTGAAATACCTTTTCTTAACTAGTTTTATTGCTTTCCATATTTGATTGCCAGAAATAGGAAGCGTTAAGCAAAATATCGAAACGGAAATAATCACTGGGATTACGAAAACGTAAATATGTTAGGGGAAACATTGACAGGCCTTTGTTCAGATTTAGGTCCTTTCTCCGCGAGTATTCTCGTCCGCAGTCCTGGGGAAGCAGTTGGGCTTCGCAAGTATACTTGTCCACAGTCCCGTAGGTGTTAAATCAACCATGGGCAGGAATCAATCTTGTATATCACATTTTAAGAAACAAAATAAGAAAAACCCTAAGAAAATTCTTCTACAAAAAACAAACTTCTTTATTTCATGCTAACCCCAATGAAGCATAAATCATCTCTACATAAAACAAAACCCCATGAAACTGTTTAAAACAAAGCTGTACAGCTCCCTTGTGGGCAAGTCTTGACGTACAGTCACCGATGAGTACTTACATCACTCCAGTCTACGTCCAGTACAGGTCCTGTGTGCGTTTGCTGTGCCTTTGGTATTGTCTGACCGTTTTGCTGCACTTCCCAGCATCGCACCTATCAAAAAGATAAAAATACTTTGCAAAACACACATTGTCCACACGCACTTTTTATACTAGTATTAGTCAGACACTCTTATTTAACACATGCAAAAGATATTATACATCTTTTCGTTTCTTTCCTTTTTTTTACTCTAAAAAAAAACAACCAAACAAAACAAACAAAAATTAAGGCAAATTCATATATATGAAAATTGACAATTATAAAACTACAAAAAACGAAAGTTTACCAGAAGCAAAAAACAGATAGTGAGAGAAAGTAGATAAATATGGCAGCTCACTTATAACGCATAATCTGGTTATTGACATGTAGGCCTACAGGAAAGACAGAAAAGGAAGGAAAAAAAACCCCAGACAACGCATTTAACAACAGTAGCATGAATCTGTTAACAACACATACATTATTGTCCCAGCTGCCAGCAACCAGGAAGGTCGAAGGAAGAGTCCCCGGGCTGAACTTTAAGCAGCTCACACTGTCATCAGGAGGGGAGCTCACCTGGAGATTGACAGACAACAAATGTTATCGTCACATCACACATTTCCGCAATCCTAATCATCCTTCATATTTCATTACCAACCTCCTAAAGAATGAAGAGGTATGTTAATTCACATACGACAATTTATCAGTACATAATGTGATATTACAGAAGAAGCTGGCAACTGAGGACCAAGAGTCAACAGCGCTCCATTCTTAATGTATAATTCTGAAAATAAAACTTATTTGGACACATGTAATGTACGCTCGCTCTATACAATGCCATGTTAAAAAAAGAGAGTCAACAAATAAAGGTCTGTCTCACCAGTGTTTTCTTTATTATCAAGGCTAATGGGAAGCCATCAGAGAAAAGTCAAAAAAACGTAAATGGGACTCGAATCCGACACGGTTGACACAGCTGAAGTCTTGACTATTATTAATTTCACCTGTAAGATAAAACACATCACTGTATCTCTCCCTTCAACTATCACATTATAATTAATAGCGCAATTTACCTCAAAATCTTTCATCGGATTGGAATTTGTGGTGGTTGTAGATGCCCCAAACACTGAGGACTGGCCAAAAGTGTTTCCTCCTCCAAACAAACTCATTGTCTTGGAGTAAAGGAAACTGAAGCAATCTCAAATGAAGTCAAGAGCAAGGTTACTTCTGAAACGATAAAAAAAAAAAAATTTTAAGAAAAGAAATAGTATACACAGGCGTATGTTGGCAGCCAGGCAAGCCATCAGAGTACTTTTCATTGACTTATTTTATTTCAAGACAAACATTTTTTATTAAATTTGTAAAAATGAATTAAGATGTGTACCTGCTTATCCCTTTCTGTACAAACTCTTGAGAGGAAACTCTTCTTCCTACCTCTAGAAAACTTCCCCACCTCAAATTATCTCTCTATATATACTTGCATAAAAGTATGCTGCATAACGTAGTTTTCATGAAGTTTGCAGAAAGTTCTGGTGATACACTGGTTGACACATGAGAGGCTGAACCAACTTTTCTCCATCATTTCTTTTTGTGTGTGTAGTGTAGTGTAGTGTAGAGTAGTGTAATGTAATGTAGAGTAGTGTAGTGTAGTGTAGTGTAGTGTAGAGTAGTGTAATGTAGTGTAGTGTAGTGTAGTGTAGTGTAGTGTAGTGTAGTGTAGTGTAGTGTAGTGTTGTGTAGTGTAGTGGATTGTAGTGTAGTGTAGTGCAGTGTAGTGTAGTGTAGTGTAGTGTAGTGTAGTGTAGTGTAGTGTAGTGTAGTGTAGTGGATTGTAGTGTAGTGTAGTGTAGTGAAGTGTAGTGTAGTGTAGTGTAGTGTAGTGTAGTGTAGTGTAGTGTAGTGTAGTGTAGCGTAGTGTAGTGTAGTGTAGTGTAGTGTAGTGTTTGTTTGTTTGTTTTGTAAAGTGTTTTACGGCGCTCGCAACTGCATAGGTCATATGAGCGCGCGGGACACTCCTAATATTTTCAGTTGGTAGGAAATTTTGAATTTAGCCCGGGTGGCGGCCGAAGCCTACTCTTATCGATTTTAGACCACCAAGGGATCTTTAACGTGCGCAACTTGCACACGGGCCCTCCGCGATTTTTCGCCTTTGTCCGAGAAGGCTAGGTGTAGATCTTTCCTACCAGAAGATCAGGGGTGTGGCAGAAAGACAGCAGTAAGGAGGAGTAGTGTAGTGTAGTGCAGTGCAGTGTAGTGTAGTGTAATGAAGTGTAGTGTAGTGTAGTGTAGTGCAGTGTAGTGTAGTGTAGTGTAGTGTAGTGTAGTGTAGTGTAGTGTAGTGTAGTGTAGTGTAGTGTAGTGTAGCGTAGTGTAGTGTAATGAAGTGTAGTGTAGTGTAGTGTAGTGTAGTGTAGTGTAGTGTAGTGTAGTGTAGTGTAGTGTAGTGTAGTGTAGTGTAGTGTAATGAAGTGTAGTGTAGTGTAGTGTAGTGTAGTGTAGTGTAGTGTAGTGTAGTGTAGTGTAGTGTAGTGTAGTGTAGTGTAGAGCAGTGTAGTATAGTGTAGTGGAATGTAGTGTTGCTATGATTGTGTCGAAGAGAAAGCTTGTTGTCTTATCCATAGTCATAAAGTTAACAACAGGAAGCTAAAGGAGAGTATACTTTTCTCCAGGTGGTCATCTTATAATGAAATCAGCTCAGCAGATCTGACTTTACAAAGTAAAGGGTACTTTAGTGACTTTACAGACATGTTTTACCTAAAAGTAACCAGAAACATTTGAGTTAGACTAGCAGCAACAAATGCGAAAGAAAAATAAAATTCCTTCCAAAATATACATATATACAATATATGGTGGGTTTTTAATTATTCATTTTGTCCATTGAACTCTTTTTATCACCACTGTACCCCCACCCCCCTCCCCACTCTGTACCCACCATAGGGCCGCAGCACAATATGAGTCGCAATTCAGGGTGTACAGGATAGTGTACATATTTCAAAGTGCTGTATTTCTTACATTAAAATTTGAAAGACCTGTTCTCCATCGTTGACCCAAACAAAATCCTCTGTTTTGTAAAGGACCATTGCCTTTACATTGTGTTTCGTGTGCTCATGACCTTATGCAGTTGCAAAGGCTATAAAATTCTTACTAAACTAAACTAAATCCCTTTTCATTATTATCAACAACGGAATTTACAGAACTTGATTCATAGTCTTTCATCAGAACAGTCTACTTCACTCTTGAAGTACTTCATCAGTCATGAGCGTGCCTTTTTGAGACATATTTCAAGCTTGTACTCCCATAAAAAAACAAATAAACCGCCATTCATTGGAAAACTGAAATATTCAGACTTCAGACAGAGATAGCATCGATGTATTTGCGTATTTCGAATTTTACAAGCAGAGTTACCCGTTTGACGTAACCGTATAGCGTTCCAAATTAACTTGTAGTCTGGTCTAGTCCTCATTACAAGTATAATTTATACTCGTAGCTCAGATAAAAAGAATTAAGTACATAAAATAAAATTCGGTACAAATTCCACAGGACCCAATCTAAAGTATTTCAATAGTACCGCGAGGAAAAAAAAAAGAATAGCAGGTGGTTAGTTTTTAGATGAATGGTAAATAAATACATACTTTCTACTTTCTTCAATACCATAATTATAAGGTACCAACCACCCTCCTCAAGATCACTACCAATATTTTTTTAAATTCTGTTTTGGTCAAAAGGTGTACAATCAAAGGCAACACACTAACTTAAAATATCCTGGCCAGAAATTCACATGAGTATATGATCAAATGCCATCTTTGGAATGGAAAAAAGGTGATGTGATTTTTTTTTTTGTGTTGTAGTATCACAGAACGTATTCATAATATAACATGAAAACATTGCACAACAATGAATTTCAACTTTGAACAATGTATCCTCCCTACAAAATATAATGGCTCTCCATTCTCATCAACTGCTGAGTGAGAGGGATCTTTTGAAATTTCTCCGTGAAATCTATTGATCCTCTGTTTCTGCTGATGTCTTATGATTCTGGATGAAATAAACGAAAAGGACGGATTTTACTCTCTCTGCTAGAATTGGAAATAGACTGACCTGATTGCAGACAAAACAAAATATGTTAGAAAGGCGTGTTCTGTTGATTTGCGCAATCAGTGAATTGCGCAACTTATTTTGTGGATGCATGGGTGGATTGTTGCGCATTTTGTAGGTCGGTGGATCGCACAGCACTTTTTGTCGACCCATCTTATAAAAACCATTAAATACTAGACTAGGAAGCTCAAGTGTGGCATCCTATCTGTTTTTGATGGTCTTTGAGACTTGTAATCGTTGGTGCCTGCTCCAGGCCTGACACCTGACTAAAGGAGGAGGAATTAGATTATAATATGGAAGTGCTTATTTGCAACGCCGCGTTGCGATTAGCGCCAGTGTTAAATAAAATGCCGCATTGCGATTAGCACCAGTGGTAAATAAAACGACGTGTGTTAGCCAAGGCTATGAAGCTTAATCTACCTTTCGTTGTTGGAAGTTCTGATGGCCAAAGTGACAGCGCAATTGTGTTTGAAGCCAAACCATTGTTTTATGAGCATGGGTTCAATCCCGGTCCTGGAAGGTTTTTTTGTTTTTTTTGTCCTCTTCTCGACTGACCAACAAATTTTTCCCAAAGAATCAATAACTTGTTGCTTTGTAGTAGTTTTTTTTTTATGTAGTGGTGAAGCATGCACATTCTGGTTTTGTCCCCAACAGGAGCTCTGATACAAAGTACGCCTTAGTAGCCTATACTTTTTCTTTTACCAATTTAGGCCTGGATAAAGTTCAATAGATTCTAGTGGCTTTCCTTGGTCTGTGAGTCTAATTTTTTTTTTTTTATTATTTTATTTTAGGCTCAGGAGAAGAAAAGAAAAACCTTACGGGACCAGGATTCGATGCCGCACTTGTAAGCACTGAACATTAGACTGTCTAGCGAACATACACAGCTTGTATACGTTCTCTAGGCCTAACTTAAAGACAATATTTTTAGGTAGATCTAGAATCTATTGTATGACGACACTGTGGACAGGAAATACTGCTTATAAATACTGAGTTGCACCGTCTTGTTATCAAGCATCTTTCGACTTACTTGCTCAAACTCAAAACTCAAATTATGATTATGAGAGATGAACAAGATTATGTCTACAGTCTAGTCTACTTTTGAGCAAACAATGTCAGAAACAATTGTTAGATCTAATCTAGATTTTAGATCTAGATCTAGAATCTAGATCTACCCAATATTGATCGGAATAAGACAACGTCATAAAAAAGGAGTCAAATCCTAGGAGGTTCATCAAGAAACTGGGAAAGCTTCCACAATTCAGGCAGAACTGCAATATTATCATGTAGAAACGATGGCTACTAGATGTAGATATATTCTAGTACTGGCGTTTCAAATAGCATGGGAGCTATTCAGAATGCGGCATTTCAAATAGCACAGGAGCTATTTTCAGAACGCGGCGTTGCAAATAGCGCCTGCCTTATAATATCTAGATCTAGGTTATTTACGTATATATGACTTTACCTTCCGCTTAGTGCAATGTCAACAACATAAGAACGCTCATCTGGAGTTATCACCATACATAAGTTATTTCATAGCAGAAAAACGAAACTCGACACTCAGGTAAGATCTAAATCTAGATCTAGAATCTAAGATCCATTGCGCATTCTACGGATCCACTAAAAGCTACGCGATCCACCGATCTATAGAATGGGTAACAATCGATGGATTGTTGCACACTCCATGGATCCACAAAATTTTCTCTCTCTTTCTGTTTCTGAACGGCTGTAGTTATTCGCACAGGGTTTGTGAATACTATGAAATTTTATTCGCACAGGGTGTGCGAATATTATGAAATTATATTATATACCACGAGAGAGAGAGAGAGATAGAGAGAGAGAGAAGGGGGGAGAAGACAAAGTTGTAAACGGACCTAGTATCCGAATTATTGAAGAGATCAAAGTCCGGAATATCTAGGCATCGGATGAGGACGTTTACCGCAGGAACAGACGCAGGGTTCTCACCATTATTTTAGTATTACTTGATCCCATCCGCTGTTTCTTTTTATAGGGGAAGGGAGTGGAGGGAGACCAGAAGTGGAGGATTGACCAGCAGATTTCTGATTTTCTTGATTACCTGTCGTAGGCTTATTTTAGCTCCTTTTCTTTTCAGGGGGAGGCAGCGGAGGGAGACCAGAAGTGGAGGATGGACCAGCAGGTTCCTGGTTTTCTGAATTAGTCGCAGTGCGCTAATTTTTGGTGGACCGCACATTCAGCACTTAAGTTATTAGGATACTTATAGATATAGTATTCGACAGTCGGTGGGGGGGGGGGGGGGGCTGCCACATGCAATCAATAAATTTAAAACAGAGAAAAGTGGACCAGGAACATTTTATAGTTTGCTCTGCCTAAGAACTTTACTTTAGTGGACCCACATTGCCAGCCTAGGCTAGGCCTAAGAGGTACTATGAGACTAATGAGAGATGATAGAGGCGCGGGTGAAGTTTACCAGACCAGTGAAAAGAGGGGGAGACATGGTGGAGGTATCTAGATTCGTTTCTAACACTTTCCTTCTCTTCGCTTCTTGGGCCAAGACTTGACCATAGCCTAGATTCTAGAAGAAACGGTGAATCGTGAAGGATTTTTACCTGTCCTGTACCAAGGTCTCCAAAATCCGTATTAGATCTAGATCTAATGTACATGATGTACAAGCAAGCATAGAATGACCATTCCTTCTTTTCAAAAAAATTCTTCCACTCACACCGGAATCTACTCTTAAATATCTAGATCTACATTAGATAAAGAAAAATACATGTGTATAGTCTAGTATTTAGTAACCCATCATCATCATGCCCATGTAGATCATTGTCGATCATTGTGGTAACAATTATAGATCTAGACATCTAATGGGCCTGGCATGTCTATTCTCAGTGTCACTGGGAATTGTTTCATGGCCTCATCCCAGTGACACTGGGAACAATTCTGGCCTATTCCCAGTGCTTTCCAAAATTAAAACCCTTTGCCTAAAACTAAAGGTGGGATATCTGGGTGTGACAAATGAGGTCCAAAATCAACTTTATGATGTAGTAACTCTGTAGTAATAGTAATACATCATATTATTTATGGCCAAATGATTGCAGTTTTACTTTTAAGGACTGTTCACAAATGACCCCACCACTCTTGTCATCTTTCCCAGGACACCCCCCCCCCCTCAAGCTGCCGTCAACCAAAATGTACACTTGTGTACATACATTTAGATAAAATCTGTACAGGGTGCATTTTATATTTGCACCTTTGATCTTTTTTTTTTTTTTAATTGTTTATTAATTTAAAGAATACAATAATGGTGGCACTTCCCCTGCTTGCACTGGAACCCGATCGACTGGTAACATGTAAACAGCACTCAAGGGGTCTGTTTGGCCAATTTTGGTGAATCGTGTCACCACAAATGTTGTGTTATTAGTACTTTCATACTCTTTCAGAGCCTCTGTGAACTCTGAAAAGCTCTTGAACTTTGCTCTCACTTTCATGCTGTATAGATCTAGGAAAACTAGAACTAGGTGTTGAGTAATTTCAGATTTGCGATGCAATAGCCTTGGGGCCAACAGAACGCTAATGGCAATGTTCCCTCAGCCTCAGGGCTCTGTTTTGAAAAATGAAAATGCCACGCAGGTAAGCTTATTATATATAGGCCAAGACCGCCTAGTTTCACGGACTCTTACGCCATTTGCCAATCTCGCGCAGCGTTCGCAGCGCGCAACGATCTCGTGCAGCGCGCAGTTCGGGTCGACCCTGTGCAAATATAATTATTTCTTATTCGCACACCAGGTGCGAATAATATTAATTCTTATGCGCACACCCGGTGCGAATAACCACTTCCTTTCTGAATACTGTGTCTGTCAGTGTGGATGATCAAATTGACAAAAACATAAGTCAAGAAATGATGTTAAAACATGAAAGTAAATTAATTTGGTCGTCTACAAAGATGCTTGGGCTATTTCACTTTTCGAATCGAGCCAAACTACGCGGGTTGCCATTTTGTTTTGCCCGGAAGTTCGCGCGCTACTCCTCTTCTCTCTCAGTCTGTCAGTCTGTCTCTCTTTGTCTCTCCCCCCCCCCCCCCTACTCTCTCTCTTCCTTTCTCTCTCACTGCTCACAGATAAAATTGCCCGCTTTCAACACAAGAGTGAGAGCGCTGGAACGTTTGTTCACGGTGAACGCTACACTGGTTGGTCTATCATCAATACTATCACCATCATGGTGAAAGTGAAAGCACACCAGAAGGCAGAATCTAAGCCTGTCTGTACTAACTGTACCAGCCTAACATTGAAGCAACTGTGTGTTATGATCTAGATCTAGATATTAGATTCTAGATCTAAATCTAGATCTCTAGATCTAGAATCTAGATCTAATATCTAGATTCTAGATCTAGAGTCTAGAGATGGAAAAAATTCCTGGAAAATGAAACTGAAAAGACGAGAAGAGTCGAGAGACGTGATTATTTACTGACAAAATTTTGATAAAAAAAGACTTGACAAAAGGAAACAGACTGGAACAAAACCTTATGATTAGTTATAGATCTAGAGTTATTTTACGCCCAATTAGTTATAAACATTAAGAACATTGATGCAAACAGTCTAACTTACTTTTGAAGATATTCTCCGCACAAGTCAAACCTTCGAAACCGGCATTGGAAATTGGAAGGAAGGAAAGTAAGTGCCTATGATGTTGAACCAAAACTTCCGGCTGTAACGGTCTTAGACATGCTTCTTCGTATTTTGTCACATAATATTCTAGTCCAGAGGTACAAAGCCTTATTATAATGGGCCAATGGCTACTTTTAAGGGTTTCTGACCATACTTCATTGTTTAAACCTCCCCCTGATTTACCTTTAGGCCTACACTGACTTAAAAGGAGGTAAACCCTTTAACGCTGGGTGCTTATAGGCCTACGTGCATAAAAAATCATGGTAATAAGTAATAATAATAATTACAAAAACTGCAGCAACCACCAACCAAAGAAACGTATTATAAAGCCTATCACCCAGTAAAAAAAATAATGCACATTGCCTGGTCATTGAGGTTGTAAGACAATTTCTATTTTCCGGTTAGTGTGAGTGAACTTCAGGGTAAAGTTTTCATTTAGCATGTTTTCGACCTATTTCCCGGAGCTTCTTTTCCGTCTGCGTGCCTTGATAGACCATTTGGGGGTATACATGTATTTCAGTACCTTACTTCGATCTTGACCCTTTAATTCTGTTATCAAGGGCTCACCCAAAGTCATGCGGATTATTTTGCTGAAGATAGACGGCTTCTTAAAACTTTCAACATAGAGGTTTCAAACTCAATGAATGCAGAGGGTGCTGCAAGATAAGACACGATGAGATACATCTTTATTGTCCAGATCCTGGCACATTGGTTTGGGTTTTCACCATGTACACACACGCATACTCACACACACACACACAAGCACACACGCACACACACACACACACACACACACACATACACACACACACACACACATACATATACACAAACATGCACACACACACACACACACACACACACACACACACACACACACACACACACACACACACACACGCGCGCGCGCGCGCGCGCGCGCGCGCGCGTAGGCTTAACAGTCAAATGCGTAATATAAATGAACTCTAATATAAACAATAATAATGTTAAGCCAGATCTAGATAGATTATACTCAGTATTCTGAATGTAACTCAATGTTATTCTGATGCATGCTTTAAGATCATATCATAGATAGTTAAAAGGGGATAACTCGATATGGGTCAAAGTCAATGGATACTTGCAACAATTAAGATGGATATAATTCAGGTGGATAAGAATTTTGATGGGTAATGATAAAAATATGACCTTCTGTATCTTTCTTTGTTAGGCCTATAGATCAGAAGCCTAGGTCTTTTACGTCTGACTGGCATTTTTATTTGAGGGAACAGGGGATATTTATTTTCCAAAAAGATAGAATTTAAAAAAAAAATAATTTTTTGTGCAAGCTGTTAATGTACAGTTCATCCAAATAGGGGGATGTAAATCATCTAGCCTAGATGTTGAAATTGTGAATGCTTTCCGAATTAATCGATTAAATTTTTCTTTATTCTTGTTGTCTTGTGTTTCCGGCCCATGCTGTTAAACCAAAATTGATCATACTTTCTAAGGTTGAATGATAGAATATGGACATCAATATTTTATCAACTTTAAAATACACGAGCTTTCTTAGAAAAAATATTCTTTTGTTAACCCTTTTTACGCGGGAGAGAAGTGTGGACACGCCAGTTGAGTTTGTTGTCTATTGTAACGCCCAAATACACGTACTTATAATCTGACACTCTCGACGTTTTCACTTTTAATTTCGATTGGCTGCAGGGGCAGTTTCTTTTGTCTAAATAGTCTACAACAAGTTCTCGGGGAGGGGGGGGGGTTCATGTTGAAAGTGGCTTATAATTTTCACACCATTCAGAAAGGTTTAGCACAAAATTCCGTAAGCAGTTTCGTTATGGGAATTTTGTACCGAACCTTTCTAAATGGTGTGAAAATTAAGCTGCTCTTAAATACGAGGGAAAAAAATCTAAAAAGAAAAAGAAAACTAGATCTAGATCTAGTCTTGGGGACTCTGGGATGGAATTGAAAAAATCCGAAAAGATATAATAATTCTCTCACTTTTACTGCAACCGTTGAAAGTTTCTGAACAAGAAAGTGCGGTTGGGAATATTCAACATGCGTTTAGAATCTATGTACTGATGTTGCAACGTTTCGATGATAATAAAGAATAGCCTGTACGTACTGTAACAATAATATTGTTCTGATCAGTCTGTTAAAAAAAGAGCACAGGCTCTGTTTATTGAGAGAGCGTCTAGTGCTTTTGAAATGGGCTCATCTTTTTAACTCTGAAAGGGGGGGGGGGGGGGCACAATTAAGTGTTGAAAGGGTAATTCTTTTGTTGCTCAAATGGCATTTCGGCCTGAATTGCCCTCTTCAGCTTTCAAAATTGAAACGTATTATATAGGCCACTTTGCGCAGCCATCGGCTTGAAATGTGTCTCTAATTTCACTTTAACGAGCCTTTCTGGTAATTTGGATTTAAATCTAAATCTAAGTAAGCAATGTTGTATTCAGAGAAAAAGAAGAACTAAATGAATAACTGTACTATTGATGTCATGGCGTGCAGCTGCCCTTAGTTCGATTCCTAACGAGGCGTTTCGAGCCTAAGTTGTTTATGAAGCCTTCAAAACATTCTACACATTTGGCTCAGTCCCATCGAAGACAGACTTTGGATATGCAAACCTTCGCCTTTTATATGAACTTACAGTGTTGATAGGATAATTAAATCCATACAGCACACTGGCCGCTGTCGTGAAATTATTGTAACAAATTTGGTCTCCCGAGCTGAATGTCTTCAGCTTGCTCCACTACTGAAACACCCTAACTTCGCCATGACAACAAAACTCAAAATGATCAACATCATATTCATCCTAACACTCACCTATCAATGCCAAAAATGGACCACGAACAAGACATTGGAGCAAATAATTACAACATGTGAAATGCGATGTCTTAGAAAAGCAGTAAACAAGACCAGGCGAGACAAACTTAGAAACTCAGTAGTCGGAGAAATGGTGAGCACAAATGATGTCATGCATCACATCTGCATCACATCCGACACCGAAGAATCAAATGGTTCGGACATCTTATTTATGCGATTACCTACACACCATCCAGCAAAACGTGCCTACATAAAAATAATAAAAAATCAATGGCAACAAGGCAAAAGGGCGACCGAGAAAGACCTGGGTAGATAGAGTCAGGGAAAGACAAACAGCTCATGTCATCTCCCTGGCCCAAACTCCCCGGCTGGTGCCAGCACGTCTCTTTCTTTCCCCTACACTCAAGAGGGGTGCAAGCGGCGGATAAAAGTGAAGGAAAGTAAAGCTAGCTGAATGTCGAGGTCCCCCCCCAAAAAATGGGGAGCACTCTTTCTTGTCCATTCTGAGAAAAATAATAGATGTGTATTCCTGAGAGATTTTCTCAGTCCGAAAGCCAACCTGGGACCTACGCCTTGCCCTCGAAACGAAATAATAATGTGTTAATAGTCTGTTAACTCCTTCACTGCCTGGCCAGACCTGTCTCGGCTCTCTGGTTGGGCTATGGATAGAAGGGAAATCCACTTGATTCCCATTTAAATTGTATGTGTGAGTGTATGTGCTTGGGGGGGGGGGTCCCTCACCCACACCCACATTCTGCTCCCCATCCCCCAACATTACCTCCGTCTCCAATGCCTCCTCCGTTTCCGCCTCAACTACACGCTCTCCTCTCCCTATCATACCCTCGTCCCCACTCCTCCTCCTCATACGTCTGACCAGATCCCCATCCGAAACCCGACTCCTCATCCCTCTATCCCATCTCTACCATCTCTTGTTTTTAATCACTAAAGGTAGGTAGATTCTAATTATGTTTTTGACTTGACCCATCATGAGAGAGTGGCTGAAAGCAATTTTTAAAATCAGTTTGAGAGTGAGAAGAACAGGCCAGTGTTTTCCTAACACAGAGGTCGTCTCTGCGAGATCAACTCATTGTAGCTCACATTGTGGGGTCGATTGTGTCAGTGGCTAATGGGCTGTCGGTTGAGAGGCGACAACAGCGTCAGCAAACATCTAAAATCAAATTTTAAACAGTAGACTACAAAGAATTCGAATGCTCATAAACTATATTTATGAAATACAGGAATTGCGATTTTACTCCTAGTTGGACCTGTTCCATTACTCAATTCTCGGACCGGAAGTGAAGTGGTTAAAAAGTTAATCCTCAAGTAATAAAGTAGAACGACTTAACGGGAAACACACACACACACACACACACACACACACACACACACACACACACACACACACACACACACACAC